GGCCTATTTTTCAAGCCACCAGGTCTGGGATTCGAACTATGGTCAGCCATGTGGGAATCCAGCGCCCTTAACCACCATGCCACCTGCTGGCACCACCATTATATTATGTTATTTTGACAAAACAAAACCAAAATCTCACATAGCTGTCAGTAATACATACTACAGTATCTATTGTTCTCTGAACTCCAGAACTAAATTAACGTCCAGACCAGATTTAAATTTTTCATTAAATTACTGCGAGCTGATTTTCTTTCATCTTCTGGAATTCTTTCTTTTTTCCTTTGTTAATGCGATTAATCCTAATTTTTCACTTTCCTGCATCTTTCAAGTCTGTTTGGAATTCCACAGATAACCTGATGTTACTTTTTACCGACTGTCCTCGTGGAATAACTTGCACCCAAATCATTATATCTCCTCCCCACTCTCCCAACTAAAGGAGGAGAGATTGACTCAGTTCCTTTTCCTTTCTGCCTTCATTTCTTGCCTCCTTGCTTTCTGATTTCTGTATGAAGTATGCCATTGAACAGTTGAATTTTAGTTTCCTTTTGATTTTAGTGGGTTTGTTTCCATTCGTTGTTGACAGAACCTGACTCACAGAAGAGCATCAGATGGAAATATATTTCACTACTGCAGATTTAGTGAAAAAGCTATACTCTGGATAGCTGACTTCATCCGCTGCCTTGCCACTGTTCTGGGTGCCTTGCAATATCTTCTTACTAAATTTTCGCAAGGACGTTATGAAGTCTTTTCTGATCATACTTCTTATTATGGACAAGGGAAATGAGGCTTCGAGCTGAACTTGAACCACCTCCTTATGGTTTCAGAGCTTCAGCCGGAAGATATGGTCCTTGCTCTCAGCCACCCAGGAGCCTAGGTGGACAGTATGACTGTTCTCAGATGGGAAATGGCAACAGGCATGGAGTGAAGGAGCCTCGCCCAGTGGGAGCTGAGAAGGGCTCACAGGTGGAGGCCGTTCACACCGGGAAGCAGGAATAGCACCATTTTCTGGGGAGAGCAGAAAGTCAAAGACAGTCCGCAGAAGTGTGAAGCTATCGATGGACTTGGGCCGTGTACACTCCGCTGTTTAAGGGAACCTCGAGGAAGGGGTAGTATGGAGGTGCTGTGAACTGACCACTTCCTGCCAGGGGAGTCCTTGGTGCCAACTGCACATCTCGAGTCCAGAGTCTCTCCTGCCTGAGACAAGACTCAGCCTACTCCCTTTTACTGAGGTTTCAGGGCGCTCCCCAGACACTACCCTAAGGTGCCAGGCCATGGCAAGGACTGGGAGAGGAGGAGGGACTCTAGGAAGACCCAGTGAAAGCAGGACAGAGGGGGAGATCAGCTGAAAGCCAAGAGCCAACATTTGAGGGTAGAATTCTATGACCAGAACATGCCATCCCCCTGGTGTGACACATGTGACACTCAGGCCATAGCGGGCGCAGGCCTCCCAACTTTGGCCTGACTGGAGATCTCTGAGCATTTGGTTTCATTGGGAGAGAGACACTCATTTTCTCCCCTCTCCTGACCAGTCTCCGGGGCCTCTTTCCCACCAACTTTGGCTACAGTTACCAAGGTTACGGTCGCTGAGGCAGTTGGCATTTCTGGTATTGTGACACCTTTGGGAGCCAGAAAGAATAGCTTTGGAGTGAGATAAAGGTCAGGGACTCAAGGAAGGCATGAGAATTTGTGAGTAAAGGGAAACAGACCAGAGGAGGAAGAGGAAAGTGTGCCCAGGGTGGGTTCTTGTGTGTGTGAAAAGAAGTTTACTGAAGAAATGCAGAGACCTGAGTTCTAATTGAGAATGTGATGAAATAGAATGCTATAGAAATAGAAGTTGTAGTCTGAAGTCCTGTTTCCAGATTCCTTCTTATTTAAAAGTATTTCTTAGTTTTTATTTAGCTCTGCTTCCATAATTTGTTAAACCAGAGGTTGCCAAAGGCCACAAGTTTGGGAAGCCCCGATTTCCAGAGTCGGCAGAAGAGAGTATGGGAAAGCAGATGTGGAGCAGGTGTCTTGTATCAGGTGTATCAGGTGGCAACTCCGAGTGCCTGGATCAGATTTGGGTACCAGTGCAACTCTTGCACATTGAGGTATACATCTCTTCTGCTGCTCCTGGGAATAAAAATCTATGCAATGTACAGCCACTAGGTGGCGATAAATCACTTTCCATTCAGGCTCCCTATCCTCATTTCCTCTCCCAGGGCTGTTTAGCAGAAAAATGGTTTTTCTTACTTGAAGTGATGGCTAAGATATATAAAATAGAAAGACACTTTACCTTTCCAGTGAATACTCGAGGTGAGGTTAGAGATTCATGATAAGAATAAACCCTGAGACTATATTGGTCCAAGGGCTTGTATTTGATCCAGACCAACAATGGGAGATGCATCGATCTATCGACGCGGTATCCACGCAGTGGGAACAGCAATTTAGTGAACCGTTCTTATCCCTCTTCTATACGGTACCTTCTACTTTCTATTCTGTGTGTTTTTTTTTCTTTTTTCCATGAAGCAAACAAACAAACAGGAAGTGTTGACCGTGAGCCACTGAGTTGATTTTTACGAGCTACTAACTTGTAGTTTGGAAAAGCCAGGTTTAGTCCTATCCTTTAGTCCAAACCTTCGTTTTTCCTGTATGCTATGTATGCTCTGTGTTCACCCAGTTTTGTTTGAAATGCTAGCATGGCCAGGCTCAGTCGATCATGAGGAAGCATGTTTCATTTTGAACTGGATCACAAATAGGTGGGCCTCATCCTGCCACTCAGTTATGTCGGTCCCAGGCAGTCACCTGAACCAGCCGTGAACCACGCTGTTAGTAGACGCTTCAGAGAGAAAATACACTGTGCCTCCGTGAAGGCTCAACCTGAGTCTCTTCCCCTGAGACAGGCCAGGCCATGCCCCAGAAAACGGGGAAGAACATCCTCTTGTACCCTTTCTGAAAGTCTTCCTGTCCCATCTGTAGAGTGATCTCTTTCCAGATCACTTCTTCCTTCCCGGCTTCCAGCTTCTCTGTGGTACACCTCATTCCATTGTCTTAGTTCCAACCAAAAGTCTGGGCTGGACCTTGTGAGGTTCTCAGTGTCTGAATATGTGTGGTGTACACTCAGCGTATAACGTGCTTCTCATCCAGGCCTGAAGTGAGGAAATGCCTCTCTCACTGTCTGATGGCCTCTGCTCTGAAAATCAATAAACCAGGACCAGCAGATGACATAATGCTTATGTCTCTGGACTCCCACATAGTCAACCGTGGTTCAAGTCCTGGACCTGGCAGCTTAAAACTCATGCTGGGTGCATGTGTGTGCATGCCCAAAATCCTGAGAGGAGAACAGAGGAGAAGGGATTGTGGCTTGACCTTCCTCCCAGGGGGTGATTTCTGGCTTTCTGTCTCTCTGGCGAGCACATGCACCCTACAGCAAAAATCTCTCTCTCTCTCTAAAAAATAAATAAATAAAAAAGAAAAGAAAAGTGAAAAACCACCTACTTGGAATGTGCCTAATGTACTTTTAGAAGGGCATGGTGCCGGACGATGCTGTGGAAGCCTTGGCTGGTAGCCTGGGGAAAAGGGAAGCAGACCCAGAAGATGGCAAACCTGTGGTGGATGAGATCAAGGTAATGACAGCTCAGGCACATCTAGAAAATAGCTGGCATTGATGGTTCTCACCTCTCTCACAAGTATTAGCTATTTTTTCTTAATATTTCACCCCAACACGACCAGCCGGCATTCTCCATCATGGAGCGTATCTTGCTAGATAAGCTAACCCTGTGCAAGCAGGCTTAGTTGCCGCGGTGGATAGGCAGTGCGTACCTGTGAGCATTCCCTGAGCCTCACCGTGTCTACCTGCACACACTGGTGAGGACTCTCAGAGAGGTAGCAGCAGCCTCCCGCCCCTGAGAACCTGCCCGTGAGCCCAGCAGACCTCATGGTGGAGTCAGCCTGCCCACCTGGATACAGTGCAGGGGATTAAGGTGCTGTGGGAACCCTAAGCGGGTGGCTGTATGTACATTCCAACCTCACCTTCATGCGTTCACGAGCATTTAGTCACTCGGTCATCCATCTTCTGGAGAAAAGGCATACTAACAATGAAAATGGTCTTGTTTTCATTCAGGAGAGATCCAAAGAAGAAGACCGTGAAAAACTTGGTGAGAAAGATGAAACGATTCCTCCTGAGTACAGGTTAAAAGAGATAAAGGTAAACAGTTGGGGCATTTTTCTATTTCATTGTAATTTATACTGGATTTCATACCCATGAAGAAAAGACATTGGAACAGCCTGCATATAAAGATCCTGTTTCTTAATGTTTCAGACACCAAATAGTAACAATCCACTAATAGTGAGATAGTCGAACGCCAGATAGGAAGCATCAGATAGGAAACCAGAATATGCCTAAGTGGTTTTTCAGTCCTGTCTGAAGTGAAAGAAATCTAATATCTAAGCTATCTAATGGTTTCCCTTCTAACATACGGTTTGTTATGAAACCAAAAATATAAAAAGCCTTATGCAGATAGGAAAGCCAAAATGAAGAACAGTGATCAATTCTTAGATATAAACTGAAAAATCAGAGCGCCTGTTCAGCATTGAGTAAAGTGATAAAATGGCCTATTTTCTTTATTTTAAAAGTACAGATTATATTGGGAACCAGCAGTTAGCGTAATGGCTATGTCGCTGGACTCTCATGTAGTCAATCGTGGTTCGCGTCCTGGACCCGGTGGCTTAAAACTCATGCTGGGCACGTGTGCATACGTGCCCAAGATCCCGAGAGGAGAATGGAGGAGAAGGGATTGTGGCATGACCATCCTCCCTGGGGGGGTGATTTCTCGCTTTCTGTCTCTGATGTCTCTTTCTGTCTGTCTGGCGAGCGCACACGCTCTATAGTGAAAATCTCTCCAAAAACAAACAAACAAAAAAGTACAGATTATACAGAACAAGTGATAGAGGGGAGGATGCCATTACAATTTTTTTTTCTTTTTCATGCCAGAGGGCACATGTGCATGAGAGAGAGAGAGAGAGAGAGAGAAACATCCCCCAAATGGGGCCAGTTATGCCAAAATCTTTTCCTCCATTTTTGCATCCTGTCAGGATTTGAACCATGGTTGGCCATGTTCAGGGATTTGGCTTCCTCAGCACAGTACTTAACCACTGTGCTATCTGCCTGGCCCTTCATTACAATCCTTGTCATTTAAGTGTAGTCACCTAAATGGGGCTGATGTTTTAGATAGCTAAACAACTGTCATAACATGCCACTACTTAAATATTTCATTGAACTTCATTAACAATTCTGGAGAATTGAATTCACACTCCTTACTTCTCCATATGCACTGGTTTGTTTCCTTGACAAACGCAGGGACTACACTGAACTGTCCCTGAAAATGTATTATTCTGGATACCTTTTTCCTTTCTCCTATCTTCATTTCACTATTCAGTCAAATCTCTGGCATGTTTTGTTTGTTTGTTGCTTTGTTTTGTTTTGTTTTGTTTTGTTTTTGCTATAGGACATGCGCACACCAGAGACAGAGAGAGAGAGAAAGTGAAAAATCACCCTCCAGGGGGGATGGCCGTGCTGCAGTCCCTTCACCTGCAGTTCCTCTCGGTATTTTGGACACACACACACACACGCCTAGCGTGATTTTCAAGCTGCCAGGTCCAGGGCTCAAACTGCATAGCAGGCCATATGGGGTCCAGCCCCTTAACCTCCACACTACCTGCTAGCCCCCTGGCATGTCTATTAATTTGGGTTTGTTTGTATGTTGCTTTGCAGAGTCTTTAGCATCTTGAGGGCCACACGTTCTTGTGTCTGTTGACCCCAATTCAGTAAGGTTGGCCAAGTTCAGGTATCTCTCTTCTGAGCGATCGGTTACTTCCTTTCTCCCTTTGCTGGATTTTAGTAGCAGTTCTTAAGAGAGCAGTGGATTAGCTTTCTCTGACCACCCTATTCTGTGTTACTTTAATCCTCCTCTGAACTTGTTTATCTCACACATTCTTGGTCACCTATTGCTTCAGAACATTTTTCAGGTGCCGGCTTTTTCTTGTAAAATCCCTTGTTGTTGGGCCAGCAGGTGGAGTAGAGACTAAAGAGTCTGGATCCCACATGGCCAACTCTGTGGTTCAAGTCCCAGGCCCAGCAACTTGAAAATCACACCGTTTGCGTGTGCATGCATGCCCAAAATCCCCAGAGAAGAATAGTGGAGAGTGACCATCCCCCCTAGGGGATAATTTCTCACTCTCTTTTCCTCTCTCTGGCTCCAGCATGCACAGGTGCCCTACGGCAAAAATCTAAAAAAGAAAAAAATAATCCCTTGTTATTCACAGGCTCTGTTCCCTTAGGCCTCCTTAAATGAGATTCAGTTCCCTGGGGACAGAAGAAAGCCCACTTTTTCTAGATGAGTGAGGATGCAGTGATAGAAAAGTGATTTCAGTTGGAATGTGGAGCCAAGTACTCCAGGGTCAGGGTCCCATGAGTCACTTGAGTATTTTGCTGCCTTTGCAGCAAAAAAAGTGATGATGCTATTCCCTCCAACAGAAGAGTGGTCAGATGGTACAAATGAACGGCAGAGAAGATGGAAGGGGGTGTGAGCATAGCTCCTTGGCCTTTTGGCTAAGATGGAGTGAAGGGATTTGTCGACTGCAATGGAACTAGATGAGATGTCTAAACAAGTACATTTTGCTTTTTAAACAAACAAACCAAAGACACAAAGACCACCTTGGCCAGTTTCTCAGGAAAAAGCTACACACACAGGAAACTTCAAAAAGTTTCTGAAGAAACAGAATTAAAATACAAGTGTTTTGGTGTAAAATGTTATGTGGAATCCATGTATGGTTTTTTCATACTATGTAGTTTCCATGAGCTTTTTGAAGAGCCCTTGCGTACCTTTGTGCTTATTCATTTTTGTATGTTTAGATAAATGTGACTTATAATTCATCAATAGGTCTTTAATTTTAAAAAGTCCCAAATAGGGGGCCAGCAGGTGGCATGGTAGTTAATGTGCTAGACTCCCACATTGCTGACTGTAGATCATGTCCCAGATCTGGTGGCTTGTTTTCTCACTTTCTCTCTCTCTCTCTCTCTCTTTCTCCCCTTTTCTGATGATCACACATGCCCTGTAGCAAATTAAAAAAAATAGTAATAATGAGAAATAAAATTGAATAATTAAAAAAAAGTTTCAGGCTGGCAATGGCATGGTGGTTAAGGCCTGGGACTCTCACATGGCTGACAGTGGTTTGAGTCCTGGACCAGTGACTTACTTTCTTACTTTCCCTCTCTTCCTCTGTTTCTTTCTGGTAAAATTAAAAAATAATCATAATAAATTAAATTAATAAATCTTTTTTAAAAAGTCCCAAGTATTTTATCACTTTTGTCCTCCTGTTACTCAAAATTGGCACTATTGTTTAAATATTTAAACATAATCTGATCCCTAAATTTTGGAGTGGCCCCAAGGACAGAGATCTTGGCTATGCTATTTTCTGTTGTGTTCCCAGCTCTCAGTAAGGGCTTGGGACAGCATCAGTGCCGTTGGGTTGGCCGCATGGCTTGTAAGGGTAACTGTCTATTCCAGGCAACTTCTGCAAAAGTCACCTTCAGGAGGTGAGAGGCTCTACCCTCGAGGTCTCCCACTCATCCTGCAAGCCCTTGCCATAGCGTCATGTGCCACGGGACATTGCTCATGGGTTTTTCTCCTATCCTAGTCTCTGGGCTTCTGAAGTCCCAAGCCATGCCTAATTCGGTGTGCTATCTCCATGCCTGGTGCATGTGTCACTGATGACATGAACTAATTAGAACCTACTCTGTTGAGAGGATCTATTTCCTGCAGTGAAGAATCTAATTTAAAATGTACAACAGCAGGTGTAACCTGTCCACCTCTTGGCGTGTTTGTAAGGTTGTGTACTTAACACTAAATGTTAAATGAGTCCATGCCCTGTTTTCCCCTGTATAGGATAAAGATGGAAAACCACTCCAGCCGGAAGTGCCCAAGGAACAGCTTCCGGTAAGCAAAGTTTTCTCTGACTGTATCTTTCTCCTTTGGGCCCTGATTGTTAATTTGGGAAAGGCATAGCCTTCCTTTCAGTGAATTGATCCTCATGGAAATACTGGCATCATCTGAAAAGAAGACAAGTGGAGGTGACTTGATGGTGTTCGTTAATATGTTTTCTGGTTCTTGCAGCCTTTGAGTGAAGAGTTTCTTCTTGATGCTTTATCTGAGGACTTCTCTGGTCTCCCAAACACTTCATCTCTCGTAAGTCTACAACTTCTGGTTTATTTCCCTACTTTTAGAAGGGTAGAAATAAATGGAAACTTGTAACTTCAAATCTGGCTTAGACCAATGAATGGCCCTTAATCTACTGTAGCCATTAAAAATGTGTTGCATCACAAAATATTTTTCCAGAACAGAGAATGTTTTCAACATCTTAAGCAAAACAGTATGCCCTATATCCTATGGAAAAAGACTTTAAATTTCAGTTTATACATAACTGCTTCTAAAACAACTTTACCTGTTCATATTTCTCCAATCTGTCATTTTCCAAATTTGCTTCTGAGGAAACTTAGCTGCCTGTGGAATAGTCCCTCAAAGGAAATTCTGTTATTAGAAATTTTGGACAGTGTTGGGTAGTGCTGGGGGGGTGGGATTTCATGATTTCTTGCATATGAACCTGTTTGAGGTTCCATACTTATACAATAACTGTGGAGTATTTTGGGGGGATGATCCTAGATTATCTATTTTCCAAGAACCCAGTTTCCAAACCACTGACTGTATTGTTGGCCGTTAGCAGGAACAAAAGTTTCTACATGGACAGTGGTATAGAAAACATATTTATATCAGTTAGGAAACTTCAAAAAGTTTCTGAAGAAACAGAATTAAAATACAAGTGTTTTGGTGTAAAATGTTATGTGGAATCCATGTATGGTTTTTTCATACTATGTAGTTTCCATGAGCTTTTTGAAGAGCCCTTGCGTACCTTTGTGCTTATTCATTTTTGTATGTTTAGATAAATGTGACTTATAATTCATCAATAGGTCTTTAATTTTAAAAAGTCCCAAATAGGGGGCCAGCAGGTGGCATGGTAGTTAATGTGCTAGACTCCCACATTGCTGACTGTAGATCATGTCCCAGATCTGGTGGCTTGTTTTCTCACTTTCTCTCTCTCTCTCTCTCTCTCTCTCTCTCTCTCTCTCTCTCTCTTTCTCCCCTTTCCTGATGATCACACATGCCCTGTAGCAAATTAAAAAAAATAGTAATAATGAGAAATAAAATTGAATAATTACAAAAAAGTTTCAGGCTGGCAATGGCATGGTGGTTAAGGCCTGGGACTCTCACATGGCTGACAGTGGTTTGAGTCCTGGACCAGTGACTTACTTTCTTACTTTCCCTCTCTTCCTCTGTTTCTTTCTGGTAAAATTAAAAAATAATCATAATAAATTAAATTAATAAATCTTTTTTAAAAAGTCCCAAGTATTTTATCACTTTTGTCCTCCTGTTACTCAAAATTGGCACTATTGTTTAAATATTTAAACATAATCTGATCCCTAAATTTTGGAGTGGCCCCAAGGACAGAGATCTTGGCTATGCTATTTTCTGTTGTGTTCCCAGCTCTCAGTAAGGGCTTGGGACAGCATCAGTGCCGTTGGGTTGGCCGCATGGCTTGTAAGGGTAACTGTCTATTCCAGGCAACTTCTGCAAAAGTCACCTTCAGGAGGTGAGAGGCTCTACCCTCGAGGTCTCCCACTCATCCTGCAAGCCCTTGCCATAGCGTCATGTGCCACGGGACATTGCTCATGGGTTTTTCTCCTATCCTAGTCTCTGGGCTTCTGAAGTCCCAAGCCATGCCTAATTCGGTGTGCTATCTCCATGCCTGGTGCATGTGTCACTGATGACATGAACTAATTAGAACCTACTCTGTTGAGAGGATCTATTTCCTGCAGTGAAGAATCTAATTTAAAATGTACAACAGCAGGTGTAACCTGTCCACCTCTTGGCGTGTTTGTAAGGTTGTGTACTTAACACTAAATGTTAAATGAGTCCATGCCCTGTTTTCCCCTGTATAGGATAAAGATGGAAAACCACTCCAGCCGGAAGTGCCCAAGGAACAGCTTCCGGTAAGCAAAGTTTTCTCTGACTGTATCTTTCTCCTTTGGGCCCTGATTGTTAATTTGGGAAAGGCATAGCCTTCCTTTCAGTGAATTGATCCTCATGGAAATACTGGCATCATCTGAAAAGAAGACAAGTGGAGGTGACTTGATGGTGTTCGTTAATATGTTTTCTGGTTCTTGCAGCCTTTGAGTGAAGAGTTTCTTCTTGATGCTTTATCTGAGGACTTCTCTGGTCTCCCAAACACTTCATCTCTCGTAAGTCTACAACTTCTGGTTTATTTCCCTACTTTTAGAAGGGTAGAAATAAATGGAAACTTGTAACTTCAAATCTGGCTTAGACCAATGAATGGCCCTTAATCTACTGTAGCCATTAAAAATGTGTTGCATCACAAAATATTTTTCCAGAACAGAGAATGTTTTCAACATCTTAAGCAAAACAGTATGCCCTATATCCTATGGAAAAAGACTTTAAATTTCAGTTTATACATAACTGCTTCTAAAACAACTTTACCTGTTCATATTTCTCCAATCTGTCATTTTCCAAATTTGCTTCTGAGGAAACTTAGCTGCCTGTGGAATAGTCCCTCAAAGGAAATTCTGTTATTAGAAATTTTGGACAGTGTTGGGTAGTGCTGGGGGGGTGGGATTTCATGATTTCTTGCATATGAACCTGTTTGAGGTTCCATACTTATACAATAACTGTGGAGTATTTTGGGGGGATGATCCTAGATTATCTATTTTCCAAGAACCCAGTTTCCAAACCACTGACTGTATTGTTGGCCGTTAGCAGGAACAAAAGTTTCTACATGGACAGTGGTATAGAAAACATATTTATATCAGTTGGGAAATATGAGTGACAACTTGAAGAAATAATGATTCTTTAGAGTTGCCTGAAGTTTCTGCTCTTGTAAAGAAGGGGTTACGGACCAGTGCGTGCTCCTCACTGCACCCCTATAAAAGCACCGTGTAGTTCAGTCACATCCCATGGCCGCCTTCTCATCCTTCTCCATCTCCAAACACACAGACCGCATCAGAGAGAAGGATCCCCAAGCTCTGATCTGAAAATTGTAAGATACAGGGACAAATAGGAAGTAATAGTCTCTGGGAATATGGAATCATCTTACAGTGATGCGGAAGGCAGAAACAAATTGTGGAGGGAGCGAGAGCTTATTTCCTTATTTATCCTGACTCTCCTTATTATTATTGGGTTTTTGAGAAAGTCATGACACATTTTTGCATAGAAATACAGACAAATAATGTTATGACCTTTCTAACAACCTAATATTACTATAGTTAGATCTGTAGATGTAAAAATTACGAAAATAGACTATAACAAATTATTAAGTACTTACCATTATCATAAATTAAAGATTTGTTCAAGTGAAGGAAAACTATCAATATAGCATAGTAGTACATCAAATAGAAACAATCTAAGAATTATGTTCATATAAAAATATATTTGAACTTTTACATACATTATGTTTTAAATAAAAACCTTAGAAAAGTAGGCAATCTTTTAATGTATTAAACAGAATATATTTAATTTAAAAAATCATATATTTAATATTAAGCTAGAAGCAGTCATTGCCTTTTTTTTTTTTTTTTTTTTTCTTTTTTTTTCTTTTTGGAGAGGTTTTTAGCTACAGGGTGTGTGTGCTCGCCAGACAGGCAGAGAGAGACATAGAGACAGAAAGCGAGAAATCACCCCCCAGGGGGGATGGCCATGCCGCAATACCTTCTCCTCCATTCTCCTCTCGGGATCTTGGGCATGCACACACATGCACTCGGCGTGAGTTTTAAGCCATTGGGTCCAGGATGCGAACCGCAGTCGACTACGTGGGAGTCCAGCAACATAGCCATTACGCTAACTGCTGGTCCAGCATTAATTTCTCTTAAAAATAGAAACTACAAAAAATTTATTTCATTGTCATTTCTTTTTAAAGTAAGGAAGATTAATTAACATTTGAAAAAGACATGGAAAACATTTAAAAGCAACACCTAAATATGCAGGGAAACTTCAAAAGTTTGTGGGAAATGGAATTAAAGTATGAGTTTATTTTGATGCAGAAACATTATGCATTTTTTCCATAATATGTATTTTCTAGGAACTTTTCAAAGACCCCACATATTTGCAGATAACACATTTGTAGATGACGTTGCATATGCTATGTACATTAGCAACAAATTTTAAAATATAATTAACATTCTATTAATGTTTAAAATTAGATTTTACATATACCTAATGTGATATCAGACTTGTATTAAAAAATGCACCTGCAAAAGAAGAAATGAATACAAAAATGAGGACACACAGAAATAGAAATCCATACATCTAAGATTGTTTTAACTAAATGTCTTGAAAGAACAATGATGATCCCTTAAAGTCATTTTATAAGTTAACTTTTAAGTTAACACAACAGTACAGTACTTTCTATATTTCAATGACATTGTTCTAAAATATATTTGAGAAATAAATGTACAAAATATGAAAAAAGTATTTTTCAGTATTTTTAGGGAAGATTAATCCAATTAAATATGAGAATACATTATACAGTAATGATAAATTAAAAAGTATAATACTGAGTCAGAAAACAAACTCATATCATAGGTCATTAGAAAATTGACTGGGACCGGCAGTTAGCAAAATGGCTATGTCGCTGGACTCCCATGTAGTCGACCACGGTTAGAGCCCTGGACCCGGTGGCTTAAACTCACACTGGGCACGTGTTTGTGCGTGCCCAAGATCCCAAGAGGAGAATGGAGGAGAAGGGATTGTGGCATGGCCATCCCCCCTGGGGGGTGATTTCTCACTTTCTGTCTTTCTGTCTTTCTCTGTCTTTCTGTCAGGTGCACGTGCCCTGTAGCAAATACTTCTCCCCCCCCCCCAAGAAAAGAATAAAAAAATTGAGTCAGGGACCTAAATAACAGATTTATTTTATTTTTTATTTTATTTTAATTTTTTTAGAATTATTCATTTAACTTTATTTATTTACTTATTTTATTTTGACCAGAGAGGGACAGAGAGAGAGATAAAGTGGGAAAGGAAGAAAGCAAACTGCCAGGTCTGGGACTCAAACCGTGGTCGACCATGTGGGAGTCCAGCGTCCTTAACCACCATGCCACCTGCCAGACCCAGATTTAGTTTATTTTTTTAAAAAGTGGGAAATCATTGTTTCAGAAAGTTTCTGGAATAATGTTATTTAACACTGAGAAAAAAATAATAAAACTGAAACCTCAACCATGTAATTCAATATTAAAGCAGTAGTAAAACATCATTTTATACTCATTATGATCAGAAAAATACGTGGTAAAAATCTAATTCTGAAAAAAAAAATTCTGGCTGGCTAGGCTATGGGAGAAGCATGCAGACTTGTTGCTTTCAGCAGTTACATGTACCTGGCAACTTTTAAGAAAGCAGTTTGGTAGAATATAGCCAGCTGCATAAAATGATCCACTTTTAGAACGTATTCAGAACAATTATTTACAGAAGAAAAAAATTGAAAAACCAAATAACCTACAAGTACCAGAGGAAATGTGTAAACAAGCCATGGAATACTAACTCATTAGATTTTTGAACTTTTAGTATAGTAAGTGTGAACAGAAATTAAATAGGAAATCATCTAACGGAGAAGGGGGTAGAATAAAAATTCCTTAGGGGGCTGGCTCTGTGGCCTGGTGGTTAAGGCAACCAGATCCTACATGGCCGAACACTGAGTTTGGGTTTCAAACCCAGCAGCTTAAGGAGCACACTGGGTGTGTGGATGTGTGTGCCCAAAGTCCCCAAAGGAGAGAGAGTGGAGAAGGTATTGGGATGTGACTATGTCCCATTGGAAGGGACTTTGCCCTCTCTATCTCTGTCTCTCTCTTTCTCGAAAGCTCATCCACCTTCTACTGGGAGAAAAAAAAATGCTTTTAGGATTATTTGTTACAGGACCAGCAGGTGGCATAGTGGTTAAGGTGCTGAATCCCATGGCCAACTATGAGGTTTGAGTCCTGTACCCAGCAGCTTGCAAAGCATGCCAAATACGTGTGTGTACCCAAAATCCAGAGAGGAGAATGGAGCAGGAGGGATTGTGTGGTGGCCATCTCCCCAGGGGGTGATTTCTCACTTTACCTCTCATTGTCTCTTTCTCTCTCTCTCTTGCAAATGCACATACCCTATAGTAAACCTAAAAAAAGAAAAGTTTATATGTTAGTAGGTGTTTATTTGGATCAAGACAACGGACAGTCATAAAATTATCTTAAGAGTTGTATTTAAAGTGATGGCATTGTGGACAGAATTTTATACGTAGCATATTACTGATAAGAATATCATTTCTTTCACCAAAGAAATTTCAAGAGGCTAAACTTGCTGCTGCCATCTCTGAAGTGGTTTCTCAAACCCCAGCTTCAACCACCCAAGCTGCAGGCCCACCCCCTGACACTCCGGTAAGCCGTGTATCTTATTTGGGAGATCATTTGTTTTTGCAGCAGCAACAAGAAAGAAAATGAAGCACCTGCTTAGAGCAGATGAAAATAGACTGAATTATTAGGAAGATTGGTTACCTTCTATTTCAGAAGAGCATAGACTAGCAATTTAGGGAGATGGCAAAGAATATTAGTGAAATGATAAAATGAAACAACACATGAAAGTATTTTACACCTGATTGGGGAGCTTAGTGTTATTGTCACTTGATTAGAATTGAAAGTGCAGTAGTGGGCCTTGTGTCTAAATTTGAATGACTGGATTTGAAAAATTCTTTTGTTTTCCCCATAATTGATTTTCACCTTCATTTTTTTCTGGCATATGCCAAAATTTACTGCCCGTTGTTTAAACTCATATTTATTTTATGGAACTGCTCAGTGTTTGAGCTTCTCCAAAAAAAAAAAAAATTTTTTTTTTTACAAACATGTCATGGAATGGCATTGCTTTCTTCCTGTTCACATTTGTAAAAGTGTGTCATTTTCATGCTCACAATAAAACAACCGAGCATCAATATTGTTTTAATTATTTATATGTTCTGAGGCAGAGCTGTGGGACCAAAGCTTTTTCAGATCTTCGTGATTAATTATCTGTGTGGTACCAAATTATACATTATCGAGGAGACCACGACACATCCAAAGATAAAGGGACTGCCCTGAACCAGATCCCATCTCCTCTGGCTGAGAGCAGTGCCTCGTTTGCTAGATGGAGATGAAGTAGCTTTAGTGAGGTTAGCTATGCTTCCGTTCCTTTTGATGTAGCATCAAAGCTTGCTTCGTGCTGTAGTCTGAGATGTTGATGGGTTTTCATCCTGTCCGGTCAGCCGGGGATCATCTGAAAATATCCAGAGGCACAGATGACAAAGCCCAGACCAGGCTGTGGGTAACCCCACCATTAGCAGCTGTACTCCTGGGCTCAAATGAAGCACTTAAAACCAGTAAAATATATGTGTGCGCGCTCGCGTGTGTGTGTGTGTGTGTGTGTGCCACAATGATAAAAGTCCTTGTACAAGAGAAAGAGTCACTAATAATCCAGGGTCCTGTTTACACTTTCTTTTTTTTTTCTGGAGAGGTTTTTCGCTATAGGGCATGTGTGCTCACCAGACAGACAGAGAGAGACAGAGAGACAGAAAGCGAGAAATCACCCCCCAGGGGGTATGGCCACACCGCTGTCCCTTCTCCTCCATTCTCATCTTGGGATCTTGGGCACGCACGCACACGTGCCTGGCATGAGTTTTAAGCCACCAGGTCCGGGACGCGAACCGCGGTCGACTACGTGGGAATCCAGCGACATAGCCATTACACTCTACACTTTCATTTTAAATACTCAGGCCAGAGCTTCTTCCCTGATTGAGGCTATCAGTCCCGTCACTTTTCCTTCCCCTGAGAGAGTCTTGCTTCAGTTAATATTTTATTTAAAGACATTGCTAAAGCTTGATATAAAGCTTAATTTACATGAATATGCTTGGGAATCCAAGTGTCAACAACCCATCCTAATTCACCTGAGCTGTCTCTGCTGGGGATAGTAAGACTGTCCCCTGCTGTGTACATACGAAAGCCTTAAAGACGGATGTTCAAAGAGCTGTGTGATATAATCGCCCCAATAGGAAAAGCTCCTTCAGGAGAAAATAGAAGATTGTGGACATAACCGAGCACAGAAGGCAGGACACTGTAATCAGTCCAAGACGTGGGTCCCCTCCATTTTTGTTTTGTTTTTGAGACATTTTTGCTGTAGGATTCATGCCCTCGCTGAGGACAGAGAGAGACAGAGAGATAGAAAGGGAGAGACCCTCCCCTGGGGACATGGCCACACCACAAGTCTCTTCTCCATTTTCTTCTCAGGATTTTGGGCACGTGTGCGCATGTGCCCGCCCTGAGTTTCAGGCCTCCAGGTCTGAGAGTCAAAACATGCTTGGCCGTGTGGGAGTCCAGCACCTTAACCACGGCGCCACCTGCTGGCCCTCCCTCCATTTTTCTAGTAGTCTGTCTCCAGGAAAGCTGATTTAGCTTTCCCAAGCAGTTTATCTGTTCCTCCAGAAAAACGGCTTACTCAGGGGTCATTGTGGACCTCAAATAAAACTGAGCAATGCACAGAAAACCCTTTCAAAGTACCTGGAATGTGCCAGCGCAGTGCAGTCCGATCCCAGCTTGGCGTCTTGTACAATGCAAATAGGAAACATACATTTTTTTAAAGAAAAATTTTGCCAAGGCCACCTGCGCTTGCCTGGGAGAGACAGAGGGAGAAAGTGAGAAAGTAGCCCCAATGAGGGATGGTCTCGTCACAGTCCCTGCTCCTCCATTTCTTTGGGGATTTTGCACACACACACACACACACACACACACACCCCAAGCATGTTTAGTAAGCTGCCAGGTCCAATACTTGACCACATGGTAGGCCACGTGGGATCCAGTCACCTTTACTGCCATGCCACAGCTGGCCCAGAAATAGATTTGTTAAATTGTATTTATACGGAGACAGAAGTCACGATTTTGAATGTGATATGTTGAAAAAGATTTTGAAGGAAAAATACTTCCTTAAGACTTTGGTGCAATAATATTATGAATGATGTAAGCCGAGTGCTCAGGTACAGCGAGTGCTGTCTTCAATGCCTTTTTTCTTTTTTTTTTTTGTGGTGAGGTTTTTGCTATAGGGTGCATATGCTTGCCCCAGAGAGAGACATAGAGACAGAAAGCAAGAAATCACCCCCCAGGGGGGATGGCCATGCCCCATTCTCTTCCATTATCCTCTCGGAATCTTGGGCACGCACGCACATGCGCCCAGCATGAGTTTAAGCCACCGGGTCCGGGACTTGAACTGCTGTCAACTACGTGGGAGTCCAGCGATACAGCCATTACGCTAACTGCTGGTCCCTTCAATGCCTTTTCAATCACGTAGTCTTCTTAGCAGCATCTAGGTATAGGCACTATTACTGCTCGCATTTCTCAGCTGAGGAAATGGAGGCTCAGAGGAGTTAAATGACTAGCCAAACCCTGCCCTAAATAAATGTGGAAATAAACTATTTTAGTGACTTCGATATTCTCACTTTGGTGGCCAAAATTTCTTTTCCCCTAGAATACCAGCTCTCCTTCATTTCTGCAGTTTATCTTCTAGGGGCTTCCTTAAGGAGAGGGGTCCCCCCAATTTAGAAATTCCAGGTCTCTGAAGCCCCTCATCCCTGTTGTGACAGAAAAGCCCTGTCCACCTCGTGAGCCCAGGTGTCCTGGCTCTGTGCTCTGGTCAGTCAGGGATGGCAGTACTGGGCCCCACAGCTGCCCACATCCACATTCGTCCAGGGTCTGGTCTCAGAGTGTTCCCACAGAACCAAATAAGCACTCACCCAGGGGCAAAATCCTGCTTCCTAGCTATAGGACCATACTGTGGATTTGTATATCCTGTTTTCTGAGCACATTCAATTTTCATATAAAAGGTGTGTGACTGACTTGTTTGTCTGGGGGCCTTGCAGATCACGCACTGGGGTGTGGCCCCTGACATTGCCACTGAGTCTTCCAGAAGCAGGTAGGGTTTTTCCCAGGGAGGTCGGCAGTGTGGATGGAAGGTGCTGGACCTCAGCCCTCTTAGGCTGTCAGATCTGCTGTGCTTTCTTGCTGATCTGTCTGTCCATTCTCTCCACACCCCCACCCCCAGAAATCGCCGTCTTCTAAGAAAACAGATCGTCTTCCCAAAAAAGGGAGTTCCTGGACTGATCTGCCTCTGTTACTGTTTGGCCAACCTGTGACTAATTCAGAATTACTCACTTTTTTAGCAGAGCAACAAAGAACTGGATGACGCCCTGGATAAACTTTCTGATAGTCTAGGACAAAGGCAGCCTGACCCCAATGAGAACAAGCCAATGGAGGATAAAGTAAAGGTAAAACAAACAAACAAAAAATCACTAAAAAGTGATCATTGAAGGTTTTTATAGCATATAAAAACCTACCTCACCCTACCTCACACAGAAGAACAAACAAAAACTGCTGCTGACATTCGAGTTAGCGAACGATCAGCCGCGTATCTGGCCTCCTTCCTGCCCTGTGGTCTGCGTTGTCCGTTTCCTCACCAAGGGTCATGTTTATGGCAGAGGTTCCATTATAGGCACGTCCTGTTTGTGAGACAAGCCTTGCTATGATAAAGTAGCATGGCCATGCTTCCTTAGTATTATTCTCTCCCCGCATGAGCGTTGCCTGACCTGGTGTTAAGGACGTCAGCTACATGGTGCGCACACGTGGAAGTGTGTTCTTCCAGTTGACAAGTCCTGCAGTGGCCGTGGCAGACGTCACCGGCCTCTTTGCCAGAGCTCTCCTGAGCAGCCTTCTCTGCAGGCGTAACGGAATCCTGAGTTGGAACTGCTAACTGGAGAAAGCCCTGGGCCAGAAGCTCAGCACCTAGCAGCGGCTCAAGGACGTGAGCAGCAAGCTCTGCACGTTTCGTACAGTGCACACGGCACGGACTTATACTTAAACACAGACTCCTTCACTGACGCAGCTGTCTGAACCCTGGCTTGGAACCAGACAGCGACTGACCGGCCAGATGGATGTCCCAGAGACAGGGCATTTCAGAGAATCCATAGCTCTTCATCCCGTCATGGTCATTGGAATACCAATGTGACCCTAACCTGTATTTGAAAAATGAAATCATAATGACGCAGAAAAATAAAGCTGTACTCCACCAGGGGGCAGGGTTCCTGAATCTGTGACCAAGAGTCCAGCTGAGCCTCAGGGAGGTGGGGACACTGTGAGGGAGGCGTGGCTTACTCCACAGCAGGGATTTCCTCCTCTGCAACACAAGCCCTCAGCACAGCCCCTGAGATTTGCCGTTGCCTGGTCCCTCCTCAGGGCTCAGAAAGAGTCACACTGTAAATATCACCTCCCTAAGGGCAAAGATGCAGCAGCCTTTTCCTTTTTTTTTTTTTAATGACTATTTGAAAAATGAAACTCAATTGTCATTTAAGCATGTATTTTCGTTTAAAATACAGACAGAAAATTCAGTAATGGACTGACCCAAAGAAACATATGGGTTTACTTCTTTTTTTTTTTTTTTAACCCATCTAATAGTCTGGATCATCCATTTTATTGTTCTATTACTGAAAAAAAAAATCAAAACATGCCATATCTTGCCTCAGAAAAGTACAATAAATGTTGGATGCTGCATTTCAGAAGGTACTCTCTACGTGAAGGAGAAAATGGATGTTAGATGTGTTCAATCTTTACAGGAAAGGGCTAAAGCCGAACACAGAGACAAGCTGGGAGAAAGGGATGACACCATCCCTCCGGAGTATAGACACCTCCTGGACAGCAACGAGAAGGTAAACTAAGGCACACGGATGGGCTGGACTGGACTTATACCCCTGAAGCTTTGTAAATTTAAACCTCTCTTGAAATGACTAGAAGGTGCGCTTTTTTAGAGAAGCGTAAGAACATGTCACAACTGACTGCTTCGAACGTGCCCCCAGTGCCAATGAGCAGGAGGCCTGCAATTCTGTTAGCACTGCTGAGCCAGCCTTATTTCATACCCATGCACTCGGCCCTGTGATATAAACAGAGTTGGTGACATTCAGTCCCCGATGCTTAGGGCGATTCCAAGAGACATACAAGGCATGCTTTTTTTCAAAAAGGTTATAAAAATGACTGAGGCAATGGGATTTCAAAGGAAACAGTCTCGGGACCAGCAGTTAGCGTAATGGCTATGTTGCTGGACTCCCATGTAGTCGACTGTGGTTCGAATGCCGGACTCATGCTGGGCGTGTGTGCGTGCGTGCCCAAGATCCCAAGAGGAGAATGGAGGAGGAGGGATTGCGGCGTGGCCATCACCCCCTGGGGGGTGATTTCTCGCTTTCTGTCTTTATGTCTCTCTCTGTCTGTCTAGCGAGCGCACGCGCCCTATAGCAAAAAACTCTCAAAAAAATAAAATAAAAAGGAAGCAATCTCTGAAGAGAACAGAGAAGGGGCTAGTGTTGACGTAATTAATAAGGCATATAAACAGGGCATCTCCAAGACCCGGAGTCCCCCTTTCTTCTGCATCACCAGCACTGTAGAGCGTGAAGACAGACAAAGCGTATTCCCAATTGTGCATCCTATTTGTCCATCAAGATGTCCTGGGCCTTTTGTGCCAAATGTAGAAGCCGGTTATTCTCAGGCAAACCAGGTCAGACCATCAGCCCTTCCCCATTCAGGTCCGGCTTCCAAGTCCACTAGATGATAAATAGCCCTTCCTTAGCCTACTCATCAAATAAAGCAAGAAGTCCAAATTCTACCCTTCTCCTCTGCACTGATTTGTTTAGAGGGTAAGATGGCAGCCCTGGTTTAGACAGCGCTGTCCACTTGAGTGTCTCCTGCTACAGGAATCAGTTCTCCCTCCTGCAGCCAGTGTCCCTCTAGGTAGCAGTTCTGCTTCCTGCTGGAGTCCTCCCTGTTTCAGGAGGACTGCTCACCCCGCTGTGTGCTTCGGGCAGCGTGTTATTTAATAGTGTCCTTGCTTTCGAAGATGGGACAGTTCCCAATGAGTTGTGTTTGTAATCTTGTCTGAAAATAATTTCCAAATCCTTTTGCAGTATAATAATAAGACAGAGTAAATAAGACATAAAGACACTTTTTGTAACGCATGAAGTAGAATTGTAAATTATAAGGCAGGATGGCAGGAGGTCCTCAATGTCTCCTTCCCTTCCAGGACCTGACATTTTCTTACCCTTTCCTTGAAATTGTTGAAATGAGTATAAGGGCAGTGACTAAGCAGAATTGGAAGAAAAATAGTGGGGGTCCAGGTGAACAGTTTTCGCAGATCTACCTGCCTTTTACACAAGCTGTGTCCTTGGGTACTTGAGTCTATGAATACTGAATGCACCTAAGTAAACACACAAGATTTATGCTTAACAGTAGTCTGCCTTGTTTTTCAGGACAAACCAGCAAAGCCACCTACAAAGGAATCCGAGGTAAATACCATAGGTTGCCATGACGAGTTTTCTTTTTATCCTACCTGTAGTTTTATTTTGCATTTAAAAATAAAACTAAAATGTATTGGATGCCTACTCAGTGCTTGGTACTATGCCAAGGCAAATACATACGTGAGTGCGTGTGTGTGTGCGTGTGCGTGTGTGTGTGTGCACGCATGTGTGTGAGATTTAGCTCTCATTTAGTCCTCACAGAAGCCCATGTTCCAAGTGAGGAAACTGAGGCTTGGAGAACACTAAACATGGATTTCAGAGCAGAACAAAATAAAGCTGTCGAGATTTGCATGTCTGACTACACCCTTTACAATACATTACTGCTCCGTGAAGAGTGTCATGTTTTTCTTTTTTTCTCTTAATTAATATCTTTTATTTTATTTTTACTTTTTTACCTCTTTATTTATTTATTTATTTAAAATGTTTGCCATAGTGTTCTTGCACTCGCTACTCATTGGAGACAGAGAGAGAGAGAGAGAGAAAGTGAGGACGCACTGCAATCCTCTCTCCCCTCTCTTCCATTCTCCTCTTGGTGTTTTTGGGGGGCATGCAGGTACACATGCCCAGCATGATTTTCAAGCCACCAGGTCTGAGACTCGAACTGGAGAGTCAGCCATGTAGTATCCAGCACCTTAATCACCACATCAACTATTGGCCTTTGTTTTTCTTTCTTTCTTTTCTTTTCTTTTTTTTTTTAATTTGCCAGAGTGTGTGTGCTGGAGTGAGAGCAAGAAGGAGGTGCTGAGAAGCATGCCTCTAGGGGATGGTCATGCTGCCATCCCTTCTCCTCCATTTCTTCTTCCTGTCAGGGTTTTGGTCGTGCACCCAAATGTGCCTAGCATGTTTCTCAAGCTTCTGGGTCCAGGGCTTGAACCATGCAGTCGACCACAGGGGATCTAGCCACCATAACCACCATACCATGGGCTGGCCCAAATCTCTTTTATTTTTCATTGATGTGGGGAAGTGCCCCATGTAGCATTGTGCCTTATGCTTCTTCATGGGTGATTATTTCTGTTACGATCTCAGAAACCCAAAGGAGACCAAGACCCCATTGATGCCCTCTCAGAGGATTTAGACAGCTGTCCCTCAACTGCAGAAACTTCACAGAAGTCAGCAAAGGTACTGTGCTTTTCCATGTTGTCTCTCTGAAGTGTGTGTGTACGTACAGATACTTTTAAACTATAGAACTGATTGAATGACATCACAGAGAACCTAAATATAGAGAAAAGAAACGAGTCTATAATGTCACTATCCCCCACACACTATTATTTGGCCTATTTTCTGTCTTTTTCTTTGTGTACCTGTTTTATTAATACACAGTTGTACTTAGAGTCCATGCATAACATATTGCTTAGTGTTGTTTCCTAAGTGTTTTCATGTCGCTTTATAATCTCTGCAGCTGTTGGTTCTGATCGACGCTGTCTTGTGTGTGACTGTCACACCATGTCCGTGTTCATTTAAAATGACAGCAGTCTCTCACTGCACCAGGCCCACTCACGTTCATTTGCCCTTTGGCGTTTCCTTCCCTTCTCAGCCTGGCCCATCCAGCAGATTCCTACTGGTTCCTCGAACATCAGCACCTTCAGGAAGAATGTTTTTTTTTTTGGTTTGGTTTTTTTTTTTTTGGTTTTTTGAAAGAGAGATTTTTGCTAAAGGGTGTGAGTGCTTGATGGAGAGACAGAGACAAAGGGAAAACGATAAATCACCCCCCAGGGGGGATGGCCACGCTGCAATCCCTTCTCCTCCATTCTCCTCTCGGGGTCTTGGGCACAAATGAACACATGCCCGGCATGGGTTTTAAGCTGCCGGTTCCAGTACTCAAACCACAGTCAACTACATGGGAGTCCCGTGATGTAACCATTACGCCATCTGCTGGGCCCAAGAAGACCAATCTTGTGTTTCTCCCTTCCCAGGCCAAAGTCAGAGGCCTCAGCTCAGGGTCGTCCCTGCACTCTGGCTGGCTGTCATCACATGTGCATTACGGCCCTGAGTGTGCACTTAGAGCCAGACGTGTCCTATAGCGCTGGGCTTGGATTAGCATAGTGCCTGTGACTTAACAGGCGCTCAGAACAAGAGCAAAAGTGAATGAAAAACGAATGTGTTTTTGTCCTATTTGTCCATCAAGGTGTCCCGGGCCTTTTGTGTCACATGTTGAAGCCAATTATTCCCAGGCAAACCAGGTCAGGCCATCAGCCCTTCCCCATTCAGGTCCGGCTTCCAAGTCCACTAGATGATAAATAGCCCTTTCTGAGCCTACTCATCAAATAAAGCCAGAAGTCCAAATTATACCCTTCTCCCTCCCTAAGTGTGGGGCATCTAACTACAGACCACCCCTCGCATAAATCAAATAGGAGGAAAAGTGAAATGAGGACCCTTTACAGTTATTGAAGAGAAATTAACTCTGCAGATCTAAGTTTGCGATTATTTTGGCTTTATTTTTTTCTGTTTTAGATTTGCTATATGGTATGTGTGCTCACTGGAGAGAGACAGAGATAGAGAGAAAGTGAGAAATCACCCCCAAGGGGGGGATGGCCACACCACAATCTCTTCTCTTCCATTCTCCTCTAGGGATTTGGGGCACATACGCACCTTACATGATTGTCAAGCCACCAGGTCTGGGACTCAAACTATGAAGTCAGCCTTGTGTTTTCCAGCACCTTAATCTCCATGCCACCTGCTGGCCCAGTTTTGGCTATTTTTAAACATGACTCCCAATCATTGAATTGTCACTCCTTCCCTGTGGGGTGATTTGATTTCTAGACCACTGTAGCATCCTGTTTCTCATTTCTGGAAACTACTAAAGAAAGTCATTTCTGATGACTGGACTTTATTTTGGTATGTAAGCTGCTCCAGCTCTCTGCCTTTGCCCGCATAATTCTCTCTCTCCTCCACACACAGAAACAGCATCTTGACTTTGCTCTTTTGGCACATAAAAGCCAGTCCCAGTTGAGTCCATTGTTGTTGTTTAAATAAATTTTGTTGTGTATGTTTGAGGTTTGCAACTTATTATTATGGGATAGAGATAGTAAACTGGCTACTACAGTGAAACAGATAAACATATCTACCATTTCACATAGTCACTTTTTGTGGCAAGAGCAGCAAAAGCTAACTTTTTTTTGCACAATTCCAATTTTATTTTATTTTATTTTTTTACTTTTTTTATTTTTATTTTTTTGGAGAAGTTTTTACTATAGGGCACGTGCGCTCACCAGACAGACAGAGGGAGACGGAGAGACAGAAAGTGAGAAATCACCCCCCAGCAGGGATGGCCACACTGCAATTCCTTCTCCTCCAGTCTCCTATCAGGATCTTGGGCACACACGCACATGCGCCCAGCATGAGTTTAAGCCACCGGGTCCAGGACTTGAACCGCGGTCAACTACATGGAAGTCCAGCGACATAGCCATTACACTAACTGCTGGCCCCGATTATTATTATTTTTTTTGAGAGAGGTTTTTGCTATAGGGCTTGTGTGCTCGCCAGAAAGACAGAGACAGAGAGATAGAAAGCGAGAAATTACACCCCAGGGGGGATAGCCACACCACAATCCCTTCTCCTCCATTCTCTTCTCGGGATCTTGGGCTCAGACGCACACGCACCCAGCGTGAGTTTAAGCCACCAGGTCCAGGACTCGAACTGCGGTCGGCTATATGGGAGTTCAGCAACATACCCATTATGCTAACTACTGGTTTCCCAATTTTATTATGTTGTACAGGCTATTACATATATAAGTAATATCATAATAAGTCATAAGATATTAATAGTATAGGGAAGCAGCAGATGGCATGGTGGATGAGGTGCTGGACACTCCCACATGGCCAACCATGGTTTGAGTCCCGGACCTGGTGGCTTGCTTTCTCACTCTCTCTCTCTTTCTCTCTCTCTGTGTCTCTCTCTCTCTGGTCAAATTAGAATTAATGAATGAATAAATAAAATTAAATAAATAATTATTTTAAAAAGATATTAATAGTATATAGTAAATTATTATTTTTCACAAATGGTTTCATCCATTGCCAAGAATGAATGTCATGTCAACCGCAAATTCTAAGTTCCTTTCTGCTTGCCTTTATAATTTTATTTATATCTCAGGAGGAGTAACAAATTATTACATCTATTGTCAAGATCTATTTGGCTAAGGAGTCAGTTTACTGTTTATAATTAAGTGTGGGAAATCATTTTTTTATGACTTAAAGGCTGGTCAAAAATGTTATATTTTAGGGAACCAGCAGTTAGCATAATGGCTATGTCGCTGGACTCCCACGTAGTCGACCGCGGTTCGCGTCCCGGACCCGGTAGCTTGAAACTCACGCCGGGCGCGTGTGCGTGCGTGCCCAAGATCCCGAGAGGAGAATGGAGGAGAAGGGATTGCGGCGTGGCCATCCCCCACAGAAAGTGATTTCTCGCTTTCTGTCTCTATGTCTCTCTCTGTCTGTCTGGCGAGCGCACGCGCCCTACAGTGAAAATCTCTCAAAAAAAAAAATGTTATATTTTAGTTATTTGAGGATATAGCTACACAACCCACTGCATCATGTGTTGGGTATTTCCAACTCTCATAATAACCATGGGTGGAATCTGGATTTAACTGCATACTGATACAACAGACCACAGCTAACACAGCTAAGCGATCAGGCTACTGTCTCCTTCTTTAGCAAAAATTCCTAGCATGCTATAATTTTATTAACCTCAGCCTTCATGTTGTATGTTAGACCTCTAAACTCATTCATCCTGCATGGTTGATATTCTGCATTCTTTTTTTTTTTTTTTTTTTGGAGGTTTTTCCTATAGGGCCCGTGCCCGACAGACAGACAGAGAGAGACATAGAGACAGAAAGTGAGAAATCACCCCCAGGGAACATGGCCACGCCGCAATCCCTTCTCCTCCATTCTCCTCTTGGGATCTTGGACATGCACGCACACGCGCCCGGTGTGAGTTCTAAGCCACCGGATCCAGGACGCGAACTGCGGTCGACTACGTGGGAATCTAGCGACATAGCCATTACGCTAACTGCTGGTTCCCGATATTCTGCATTCTTGAACCTCCGTTTGCTCCTCACTGCCCCTATGGTAACCATAGTTTCATTTTCTTTCTGTCTCTGTGTATTTGAGCTCTTTTTTTCGTTTTTTTTTTTTAATTCCATATATGAGATTGTGCAATATTTTTCTTTCTGGGGGGTCTGGCTTATTTCACTTAGTATAATGTCCTCCACATCTAACAATGTCATGAAAAATGGTGGGATTTCCTTAAGACTGAATAATACTCCTTTGTGTGTGTATGTGTGTCTGTGTATCAATTTCCACTCACCCATATCCACTCATCCACTGGCAGACATTTAGCTTGTTCCCATATCTTGGCTATTGTGAATAATGTCGCAGAGAGCATGAAGTACAGGTATCTTTACGAGACAATGGTTTCATCTCCTCTTGAGTATATATCCAGAAGAAGAATGATCAGATCCTGAAGTAGTTCTATTTTTAATTTAGTTAGGTATCTCCATACCATTTTCTTTCTTTTTTTTAATTTTTATTTATTTATTTATCTTTTGGAGAGGTTTTCACTATAGGGCGCGCTCGCCAGACAGACAGAGAGAGACAGAGAGATAGAAATTGAGAAATCACCCCCCAGGGGGGATGGTCACACCGCAATCCCTTCTCCTCCATTCTCCTCTCGGGATCTTGGGCACATACGCACACCCACCTGGCGTGAGTTCTAAGCCACCGGGTCCGGGACGTGAACCGCGGTCGACTACGTGGGTGTCCAGCGACATAGCCATTACGCTAACTCTGGTTCCCCATACCATTTTCCATAATCACTGTACATTCCCAACAAAATTGTACAAAGGCTCTCTTTTCTCTACACCTCACCAACTGTAGTTATCTCTTGTTTTTGATAGTAGATACACTCTGTTTTGATGAGCAGAGTGCGGTGTGAGTGAATCATGTGTCATGTAAAATGGCAGGGCATTATGACCTATATTTTTCTCCCTATTTCTACACTTTTTATCTCCTACCCTAAACACTACATTCACCATTGTTCAAAACAATCACCCAGAGTAATCTGGGACCAGCAGATGGTTATGTCGCTGGACTCCCACGTAGTCAACTGCTGTTCGAGTTTCGGACCTGGCGACTTAAACTCACACCAGGCATGTGTGTATGCATGCCCAAGATCTGAGAGGAGACTAGAGGAGAAGGGATTGTGGCATGGCCATCCCTCCTAGGGGGTGATTTCTCACTTTCTGTATCTCTGTCTCTCTTTTCCTGGTGAGTGCACGCATCCTATAGCATAAACCTCTCTTCAAAACAAAACAAAACAAACACTAAGAGTGATCTTACATTACTTAATAGAATAGGACATCTTCAGGCCACTGGAAAGAATAGTCTGGATTAATTTAATTGCAATGAGCAGGTATTTGCTAGGTGAATTGATGACAGCAATAGCCTCATTACATTTCCTTTGTTTTAGGATAAAAGCAAGAAGACCACTTCTCGTACCAAAGTATCCAAGAATGGAAGTAAACCAAAGGATTCAACAAAGGTAAAAGACCAGTAAATGTGGCATCAATTAGTTTAGCAATTACATGGACTGGGGTTTATTCTTTTGGTCACTTAGTTTCTTATTGGAATCTATTTAGAAGAAAAAGTTTGTTTAGCTTCTTTCTTTCTTTCTTTCTCTCTTTCTTTTTCTCTTTCCTCCATGAGTAAGAGAGACAGGGACAGAGGAACAGAGACAGGTACCCCAACAGGGCCTTCATGTTGCAGTCCACCCCCAGCTTCAGCGGACCCCACATCATAGGCACCAGTTGCCTGGCTTGTTCAGGGAAATCTCTGGATGCAAACCTGGGACCTTACCATGTGGATCAGCCTTGCAGAGCACTGCTTTACTGCTGCACTCCATCATCTGGCCCCTAGAATAAAAGGTTTTTTTAACCATTGTCTCCTGGCATGCCTTGCTAAAGAAATTGAATTTGGAACCAGTAGGTGGCATAGTGGTTAAGGCACTGGATTCCCATGTGGTAGACCATAGTTAAGTTCCAGACCTGGTGACTTGAAACCCATGCAGGGCACACACATGTGCATGACCAAAATCCCAAGAGGAGAATGGAGGAGAATGGATGAATGGATTGTGGTATGGCTGTTCCTCTGGGGAGTGATTTCTCACTTTGTCTGTCTCTCTGGCAAGTGTACATGCCCTATACCAAAAATCTGTCAAAAAAAAAAAAAAGAAAAAGAAATTGAATTTTTAATTTTGTATACACACACACACACACACACACATATAATCTCAAATTACTGGTGCTTTAAAAATCTAAATGGATTTTTTTTAACACAATTCAAGTTGCCTACATTTCCTGGCCTTATTAAAATATTACCAGAGTAAGTTTATGGTTTGTGTCCATTTCAAAACAAAGAAGTAGCATACAGAATTAGAGAAGATTTTAGATACCTCCTAGTCTGAGGATGAACCATTAGTACATAATTTCTCATGTTGCTCTAGAAAGCAGAACTGAAGCTAATGAGAAGCCAGTTTAAGTCTTAGAGTTGGGCATTAGTGGAGCACACTTGAGAGCTTCCTGTTAACGGAATTACTCAAGCTATGGTCAAGAATGGAGGTTAGATTAGACAACTTCTAGGTTCCTTCCAATTCTAAGAACATGTGTTTTAAATGATCGTTACTATAATTCTCTATAATGAGAAATTGAAGGTGGAGCTTTAGAATTAGAGCCCTGGCCCAGCCACAGTAGCACACACTAGGTGGCACTGCTACTCAGCGGGCCACATGGAAGGCCTGGGTTCAATTCCCACTCACCCTAAACGCCAGACATGGTGATACGTGCCTGTAGTTCCAGCTGCTCTAGAGGCTGAGGCAGGAGGATGGAGACATAGAAAAAAAAAACAAAAAATAAAAAAATAAAAAACAAAAAACAAAACATAGTCCAGTTGCATAAAAACTCTTTAAAATAAGTAAGAACAAGCTAGTTAAATCGTCCCAGAAGTGATTCTGTTAAAGGATGTAAGAAACTGGATTGATAATTGACAATTACTAATGCCATTATATCTCCAATAGATTACTTATTTGCTTATTATTTAACCTCAGTTATGCAAAGTACTTGATTAGCCCTTTAACAAAACATAGAAAACACAGGATAAGCTGGCTAGTCATGTTCCCATGTATAAGAAAAGGGTGAATCACCATAGAATAATGAAATACTGCCATCCAAGAACATCTGTCTATATATTTTTTGTTTTGCTTACCCTGGGCTTTTTATTAAAAAAAGTTTTGAGTGAGAACTTTAGAATCACTTATGGTTATTTTTAGCTTATACACTCAAGAGGAGGGACCAGCAGATGGCGTAATAGCTATGTCGCTGGACTCCCATGTAGTCAACTGTGGTTCAAGTCCCAGACTCGGTTGCTTAACCTCACGCCGGGTGCACGTGCATGTGTGTCCAAGATCCCAAGAGCAGAAGAGAGGAAAAAGGATTAAGGGATTGTGACGTGGCCAACCCCCCTGGGGAAGGGCGGAGATTTCTCCTTTTCTGACTCTGTCTCTTTCTGGCAAGTGCATATGCCCTATAGCAAAAAAAAAACTCTCCAAAAAACAAACAAACAAACAAACAAAAAACTCAAGGGGAGGGACCAGCAGATGGCGAAATGGCTATGTCTCTGGACTCCCATGTGTCTACTGCAGTTCGAGTCCCAGATCCGGTGGCTTAAACTCACACCAGGCACGTGTGCATACACGCCCAAGATCTCAGGAGGAGAATGAAGGAGAAGAGATTGCAGCATGGCCATCCTCCTGGGGGAGTGATTTCTTGCTTTCTGTCTCTCTCTCTCTTTTGTCAAGGGCATGCGCCTTATAGCAAAAACCTCTCAAAAAAAAAAAAATAAAAAAAAAAAAAAAAAAAAAAAAACTCAAGGGGGAAAAAGCTCACAGTTTTTGGCCAAGTGAAGAAAGAAAACTTAGCAAGGCCCACCACGTCCCCCCCACCCCCACCCCCACTGACTTCCATAATGTTTTCTGTATTTAATTATGAAGTTCAACTTTTCATAATTCTTCTCTGGTTGACCAATCTTTGATACTTAATCCATAAAAGAAAGCTCATTAAGGGTTTTTCTTTCCCTCTTAGACAACAGAGGGAACTTCACAGCCAAAAGCTGATGAAAGAAATACAAGTTAAAGTTTACAGTATTTGGTAAGTTGAGTATTTATTGTAAATGAAGAAACTGTACCTTTTACCAGCCTATATGCTATACATTAGAGAAACCAAGTCTACCTCTGAGTGTCTCCCGCTGCCTTTCTAGCACTGGCATGAAGTGCACGTTGCGAAATCTGTAGTCATGCTCTGAGAAGCACTAAATGGGTCGAATATTTAAAAACATGGATTTTATAATTAATAAATCTTCAAAACACTAGACCAGACTTTTAAGATAACAACCATCTAAGGCTTATAGAATCTTTGAAATTCATATACTCAAGACAACAGGTTATCATGGTAAAGCAAACATAGTTTGTTCTAGTTTGTACTGAAATGTCCTTAAGATACTGATATTACTCAAAATACCAACACATGAAGAGGTGAAAAGTACCCTTTAGGAACTAATGAGAATTACTGGGTTTTTGAAAAAAGATTTTTAAAAAATTGGCCACTTTTAGTTGTCTTGATTTTGGAAAGTAAAGTACTATGTTTGATTTTAACATTTGGTCACTAAAGAAATCCATCAGATAAAGGAATATCTGAGATATCTCTGGAAAGCTGGGCCCTTATCTTCTCCTTCAGAGAGGGGAGGTCTTACACTAAGCATACAGCGACTTACTAACCAAATCCTAAAAGAAATTAAAATGTAGGTTAAATCAGATTCAGCTTTCTCTCTATGATCCACTTTTATTTCATATAAAGAGGGAGGTATACTGATTTGTACTGCCCCTAAGGGCTTTTCTAGAATTAAAAAAAATTTTTCTATTAATAATTAACTCATATTTATCATAGGAAATTCCTTTTCCTTGTCTTTTATACAATGCTTTTGCCAAATGATATATTTACTATGTATATAACAAGAAAACTACATCAAATGGTTCACTGGATTTTTTATTTGAATTTTTCAGGGTATCTGCATATAAAATCTTCAGCTGGTGGACGGTGGCTTTAGAACAGCAAAAGGGTTTGGCAACAGAAAACAGTTTTTCTGGGTGGCTTCTAGACTGGTATTTGTTGAGTCTTTAGACATCCTAATATTGGTTTGTTATTCTTTTCCACAAAAAAAAAAAGAAAGAAAGAATTTGTCTGGTTCACCTGTGTTATTGTACTGTGTATTGATAACTTTGAATTTTTTTTAAACTTGTCTTCAGTTGGGAGAGAAAGTAAGCTTTATATTTGTAAGAAATATATTTGATACAGTTTCTTAAAGCAATGCCAAAAGAAGAAAAGAAAAACTTTGCAAGCAAGTCCAAAAGAAGAAAAGAAAAACTTTGCAAACTTTTGCACATTCTACACACAGTGCCTGTAAATCTCAGCATTTCAGTTCGCACTTAATTTTTTGTTGACATTTAGAAAACAGTGCTTCAGAACTCTTCAATGTTCTGACTTATTACCACCTTTCTTCTAGGGCTTTTAAATGGTATTTTATGTTTCTTTGGATTAATGTGTATAAGGCAAACAGAATATTGTACATTGGGCACATATCTCTTGTCGGGCTGCTAATAATAAATTAATAAGGTAAGCTGGACAGATCATGAAGCACTGAACCCCTCTTCAGTTTGATCTTCCCTTGCTAGGAGTGAGGACCTCTGCACCTTAGAGTCTGCACAAAACACACTGAGACTTGAATCAAGTCAGCAGAAGAGCAGAATGTAGGCTAGATAAGTCACCATATGGCCACTTTCGAGAATAAGAAATAAAAGTCGGAACCAGCAGTTAGCGTAATGGCTATGTCGCTGGACTCCCACGTAGTCGACCACGGTTCGCGTCCCGGACCCGGTGGCTTAAAACTCACGCTGGGCGCGTGTGCGTGCTGCACAAGATCCTGAGAGTCTTCAGTTGGGAGAGAAAGTAAGCTTTGTATTTGTAAGAAATATATTTGATACAGTTTCTTAAAGTAATGCCAAAAGAAGAAAAGAAAAACTTTGCAAACTTTTGCACATTCTACACACAGTGCCTGTAAATCTCAGCATTTCAGTTCGCACTTAATTTTTTGTTGACATTTAGAAAACAGTGCTTCAGAACTCTTCAATGTTCTGACTTATTACCACCTTTCTTCTAGGGCTTTTAAATGGTATTTTATGTTTCTTTGGATTAATGTGTATAAGGCAAACAGAATATTGTACATTGGGCACATATCTCTTGTCGGGCTGCTAATAATAAATTAATAAGGTAAGCTGGACAGATCATGAAGCACTGAACCCCTCTTCAGTTTGATCTTCCCTTGCTAGGAGTGAGGACCTCTGCACCTTAGAGTCTGCACAAAACACACTGAGACTTGAATCAAGTCAGCAGAAGAGCAGAATGTAGGCTAGATAAGTCACCATATGGCCACTTTCGAGAATAAGAAATAAAAGTCGGAACCAGCAGTTAGCGTAATGGCTATGTCGCTGGACTCCCACGTAGTCGACCACGGTTCGCGTCCCGGACCCGGTGGCTTAAAACTCATGCTGGGCGCGTGTGCGTGCTGCCCAAGATCCTGAGAGGAGAACAGAGGAGAAGGGATTGTGGTGTGACCATCCCCCCTGGGGGTGATTTCTCGCTTTCTGTCTCTCTGTCTCTCTGTCTGGTGAGCGCACGTGCCCTATAGCAAAAACCTCTTAAAAAAAAAAAAAGAGAGAGAATAAGATATGAAAGTTAATGCTCAGAATATTCATGTGGGTTGGACTACTTTGGTGTACCACGTTACTAAACTGCGCTTTCTATTTCCTGTCCGTAAAACCTGAGCAGTAGCTATCTCAGAGCCATTGCCACATTAGTCTTCGCACTGTTCAGCATCCGCCTTTATGAAAGTTAAGTTTACCAAATACAAAACAAACATCTGCTTTAAAAAAAAAAAAAGATGTATATCTGAAATTTAAAATTCATTTCCTCTCAATTTCCCCCACAGCAATGTAAAGGTTAAGTTCTGATGGCCTGTAACTAAAAATGATTTCTCAGATCTTTCTGAACGAATAGTTTATGAACACTGCACTGATACCATTGATAGACTGTTGATAAATATTTCATTTCATCTTTATCTCCTGGCAGTAAATGCAGGAAAAGATGTCAGGTACATATCATAAAACAGATCTGGAATTTCTTAATTCCAGAGAGCATGGCATCATTTCCTTAGCATCAGGTTGAAGTTTTTATTAGGACTTAACTGACTTCACTAAAAATTAATAGTATCGCCAATACTGTCTATGGGGGAGGGTAAGCAAAAATATTAATACTGCTTATAATGGGCATCAGATTTTATTAATACACCTTAAAAGTATTCTCTAAAAAGTACACATATACCCATGGGATGTTAAACTCCACCGACTAAAAATACTGTGTCTCTGTCCCATCAGAGATCCAGTTATTCTATTTTCAAAGCAATAACAAGGAAAGAAAGAATACCTTTCCTGATGAATTTTAAACTGTTAAATTCTCCCCTTTGGGCAGTATAGGTGTGTTTTGTTTTTAATTTGCTTTATAGAAAAATGACTAAAATCTTTTTGACAATTATATTTGCAAGGTTGCAGTATTATTAATTTCCATGCATAGATAGAAATATTTTTAAATGGCATACCAAAATCCAGATATTTAAGAGTACCTATAAAAGTGAACATTTATTTAAGAGAACATGCCTCCTTTTTATTAGAAATATCTTTAAGACTTGGTGTCTGCTAGTAACCAGTGAGGTCTTGAGTTAAGTACCAGATCTAAAGCAGTCATTTTTTTAACACATCAGTAGGAGAAAATAATTGGAAATATCTGCTTTGAGGTAAAAAAAAACACACAACTTTTATTACCAAGAAGGGTTCTGCACATTGCTGTGACAATATTGTTTCTGTTTAGAAAATGGACTTTTCCAAAAGTAAATGAAGACAGGTTCCTCAGATGACCAAAACTGAAAATCATTATTTCCATGTTTCAGTAATCAAGATATAAAATACAATTAAAGCAAAGTATTTTACATTAAAATCTTGGCTGTGTATGTTTTTTAAAAAGGAAAGTAGCCTGGGGTGGAAATTACCATTGATTTCTTTTTTAATTTTTATTTTCAAACTGTTAATCATGGAATCATAAACCTAATTATGTCCAGAAAAATCACCCTATACTATAGTAATTATAGTAACATATTTTTGTTATTTTTCAGAACAATTACATTCATTTATCCTGAAATGTTAGCCACATATTCAAAGCCAAAGAATACATTGTCTTCCCTCAGGCTAATATAAGCAAATGTTTTCAGTTCCACAATATATTATTATCTACTGGTGACTCTGAAGTGATTTACTGGCAATAAGGGCTGATGAATTATTTAGGAATTATAAAGTAAGCCAAATAAAGAGCAGAGAGAAACATCACCTCCCTACCTAAGAATGAACAGCTCTTTGGATATCTTTAAAGGAAAGATTTTTTTTTCTATAGACTCGACTGCTCTGCTTTGCAGAAGGGTGCAGTATGAATTAGGGTTTCCCAGGTCACAGATAGCACTCAAATCAGGATTTTCAGAGGAGGGCTCTATAAAAAGACTTTTAAACACATGTGGGAAGGGCGTGTGGACGTCACAGTACTGCTGGGATTAGTAGAAGCCAGGCTCCCTTCGTAGCCTCTGGTCCTGAAGGCCAGAGAGGACGAAGCAGTTACCAGAACCTAGAGGTGGAAAAGACTGTGTGGAAGAGTCACCTCTCAGGAACGGGGGATAAACACTTACACCCTCTCCTCCTCTGACCTACTCCCATCTCCTGGGGCTACTTACTGACCAGAGAGCAAGGGAGCCTGATGACTTGGCCCTAGAAGTCAGCCCCTGGGCATGCAGCAAGGAAGAGTTTGGACAGAGGTGTGGAGGGGCAAGCGAAGGCACTCCAGTGCAGCCTCAGTTCGTCATCTCTGACCACCCTTTACTATGTGAAGATTTCTGAAGAGACTGATGAAACAGCTTCTGAATGACAGATACAAGGGTGTCTTCAGCAAGTTCATGGAAAATGCACAGTATGAAAAAATTATGCAGGGATTTCAAATTTCTGCACCAAAATAAATTACTATTTAATACCACATTTTCATGAACTTTTTGAAGTCCTCTCATATTTAGAGCAAGGAAGTTTGAGAGGATGCAGGCTTAAACATAAAATAGAAAGAATCAACTATTTTACTCCTCCATAGAAGGGAGTCTACTCCTTGAGTTTCCATCACAGAGCAATATCCATAAATGAAACATGTGGTAGAACTAGCCCATTGATGGAGGAAATAAAAAAAAAAAAAAACAGTCAATTCTTTCACAGAACAGTCAAGCGAAGAAGGAGCTGCAGGGGAAGGAAGTCCTTCAGCTGCAGCCAAAACAGCCTTGTCTAGTTTGAAAATGTTCACATTCAACCCAATTTGGGTGATTGATAACAGGCACCTGGCAAGGAATGACTTGTTACAGCAGTTCAAGCTTTTCAGTTTGCAGCCATGCTCTGATTTTATCAAAATTCTTATCCATCCAGCGTATGTTTTCTTCAATGGTTTCAATTGTTTGTTGGACACAACGAAGCTGAGAACCGTTTTCTTTCAAAGAGCTGAAGAATCCTTTTACCTAGTGAGGAAAAATTAGGTTTTAAAAAATTAATTTTATAACATGAAGCAAATACAACTTCAGGCTAGCAAAAAGAAAACTGAAGCCAAAATTACATCGTGTGTCAGAATTCGGTACAGAAGGCAGCCGCAGGTGTCCGGATATGCTTATGTACACACAAACGCGAGCTGTATGAAATGAGCTCATGCCTCACGATGTCAGGTTTTGCGCTTTTCCTCTGCAGCGCTTTGATTTATTCACAGTTGCCAGATTTTAAAGACTTTATTGTTTACCATTTTATAATTAAGGTTTAATTGAGTGTGTCTATTTAATGTGTATTTTGTTATATACACACAGATGCAAACTTGATTTTTTTAAAACATATCTAAAAAGCAGAATGTGCCGAGTATCTTCTTTGCCAAGCAAAACAGTTTAAGCCACATTAGTCTTTCTTCACGGGCCCAGCCTTACATGTTATTACAGAAACCCTGCAGGCAATGGGGCTCTTAGCAAGGGATGGTGGTAAGACCTCAGACCTTGCCAATTTTTAAAAATATCTTAATCCACAATTCATGTATCGTTCCCTCATGACAAAACCCACATAAAGTTCCCTATGGCTTGAAAGAGAAAAGAGACTCGTGGCTATCTCAGAAATATCTTTGTTCTTGTTTTATCTCTGGGTATACTAACCCCTTAAACTCCCACGAGGGATAGGCTGGCTCTGCTACAATATTGGACTCTTTCATGCTATTTTGTTTTATCTCAAAGCATTCTTAACTTCCCATTAATTGTCACAGCATTAATTCATCAATTTCTGATTTTGTAGTCTGGAAGCAAGTGTAGTCAAGATGCATTATTTATTCAACATGGATTCCAGATGGCTAATTCCTTTAAAATCCATGTAATAATATCATATTATAAATTTGAGAATAGGAGTGGAGGTGAAGAGTAAGGCTTTGGAAACTCAAATTCCAGTTTTAAATGATGCGGAACTGTGAACCCGCAGATGGCATGAAGGTTAAGGTGGCTGGATCCCAAATGGCTGGCTGTGTGGTTTAAGGCCCAGACCTGGAGGCTTGAAAATCATGCCAGACATGTGTTTGTACACGTCCAAAATTCCAAGAGACTGGAAGAGAAGGGACTGTGGAGTGGCCATTCCCCCATAGGGCCTGATTTCTCTCTCTCTCTCTCTCTCTCTCTCTCTCTCTCTCTTTCTCTCTCTCTTTGCTGGTGAGCACACACACACCCTATAGTAAACCAAAAACTAAATAATAAATAAATAATGTAGAGCTTTTTTTTCCTTTTTAAGGTTTTTGCCATAGGGCACCTGTGCTTGCTGGAGAGCGACTGAGACTGAGAGACAGTGAGAAGGAAAGTAAGAAATCAACCTCCAGCAGGGATGGCCACACCACAGTCCCTTCTCCTTCATTCTCCTCCCGGGATTTTGGGCACATACACATGTGCCTGGCATGATTTTCAAGCCACTAGGTAAATCTCAGTACAACTTTTCAACCAGTTCAAGGCATAGCCTCCTGCTGTTGCAAGCTAGAAAACACTTCTCAATTGTCCCATCCAAAGCTGAAACTCACCCTGTTTCATACTTCTGGAACTCAAGATTAATAGACAGTCAAAAAAAAAAAAAAGTCACCTTGAGCACTCTTCAGCAGTCAAATCTCAGCAACAATTTCACTAATGGACCAAATCAATCCTGAAGGAGCCCATCATGACAGCACCACAGAAAACTGACTTCAGTAAGAACTGTGGCAAAACCAGCTGTTAATCCCTGTCCTAGCCTTTTTGCTGACCCCAGATTGTCACTTCTGTCTTCATCTGCCTTGGAAATGCATCATCTCAACTGAGTATTTGATTCAAATCTGCCTCCTTTAGAACTTTTTTTTTTTTTGGTCCAATAAAGACAATATAGGGACAGAAAAACAGGCTCATCCTGCAATCTTGAGCAAATGATTTAACATCTATGGGACTCAGTCTCCCCATTTGTAAAATGAGAATAATATACACATTGCAGAGCAGTGGTGAGAATGTATTATGTGGGTAAGTTCAGAACCAGAAACCCAGCATGTATCAGGAACTCAGCCTCATCCATTTCTCACCAATATTTACCCTGGATTTACTCCTCCTTCTGCCATAATTACATGACAATAAAACTGACTAATACTGACTTCTCATGTTTTCTTGACTGCTAGGGAGCTCTGTGATAAATTTAGAGTATGACTGCAATAATTATCCTTAAATTGCCTGAAATTCCTTCTGAAAGCACATGAAATATATATATATATATATATATATATATATATATAGAGAGAGGAGAGTCAGCCAGAGAGATAGAGACAGCCCTGTGAGTCTCAATGCCACGATCCACTCCCAGCCTTCAGCCAGTCTCAGATCATGGTCTGGCATATTTTTGACAGGTTTCAAAACTCAACTGGTAATCTCCCCACATGGGATTGACTTGAAGAACATCATGCTTTACTGCTGCAACATCATCTGAAATGTCTCCCCTACACTGCTCTCCCACTCACTTTTAACATCCTTAAACAAGGACTAATTGTCTCAATTTTTTTTAAGTACAAAAATTTTTAAGGTCAGAGCTATAAAGTCTTAATGTGTCCAAGGACAGGCTAGTTTATGTGCAACTGATTTTCATTTAGGTCAACATAATAGCATCAAAAACCATTTCTAAATGACAAAATCTTTTTCTAACTCATCACGTTTTTAAAGTATTTTGTGTACCACATATTGATTAGCTGCCACTGAAGTTTAAAAAATTTGTTTTTTGTTTTTTGTGTTTTTTTGTTTTGTTTTGTTTTGTTTTTTACCTCTTCAAGCCGTGTTCTCGTGGAGAATTGATTTGTTGTCCTCATTACCATGTAGGCTATGGAAGGTGATCCAAGTTCAAACCTAGAAATGGAAATTGTGAAATTGTGTCGTGAACTACCATTCATTCAACTTATATTGTAAGTGACTCACATATGTAATACATAACTAAAAACTGATTAGGCGTAGAAAAGATATAAAATATGATCTCTAGCCTCCAGTGGGTTAAGACCTGGTTGTAAAATAACATACCAACAGCTGAATAAATGAGTACGTATCCAAAAGAAAATGACAGGCAGTATGATGAGTACAAGAGTTAGACAAAGCAGATACAAACAAGCAAGAGAGCTAATGGAAGAGCTGAAGCATGAGGAGAAAGGCTCCGGAGAAGTCAGCCGAGGCAGGAAGGGGCTATTCCAGATTGACTGGAAAATACTGTGTCCAGATTCATTGTTAGCATTGAATTATAGTGTTATGTTTTCTAAGGACATTTTAAGTATCTCCCTGTTTTCAATTAAAAAAAAAATCCCTTTAGACTACTAATGTTCTAATATATACAAATAGCAAAAGTAAAATACAGCAAGGTTAATGAATTTTTCAGTCCCAGAACAACACTTGGCACTACTTACTTTTGTACAATTTTGTTCCAATTTTCCCTCAGAAATTGCCAGGCAAGTGGATAGCCCACAGGGTTTCTGCCAATTAAGCCAAGAATATGTGGAAACTCCTGAGTTTTTATTATATCTCCCTTAAAGCTTTCATCTAGTAGCCTGGAATGATTAAGAGGAGAAATGTTAGCAATACATAGGTGATGGAATCATTTAACTACAATAAAATAATCTGAAAAAAAATTAAAAAGTCCACTAATATTAAAGAATAAAAAAAGTAAATATGTACTCAGAGTCCTCAGATACCTACAATAGTTACATTACAAGAAAACTAACATTTATGCAGGGTGGTGTTTATAATACCTGTTCTCATATATTCTCTCATTTCTTAAAAAAATAGTCAAGAGAATACGTCTAGTAAAAATCTCAAGTACATTATCGCTTTAAAGATACACAAATGTATTCCTTTGAATATTTTTCCCAACACCTGGTTTCCTCTAATTATCTACCATTCTCATTAGATGTGTGTCTGCTTACATAAATGTTCCCAGTTCCTGGCCAAGGGAACAAAAATAGATACCAGAGTGATCTGCTCTAATTCAATTTCCCTCTGCCACATGAACATGAATGAATGACTTACCACTGAAGCTTTTCTTTATCTTGGCTGGTACACAGGGCAAATTCAATTTGGTTTTTCTCTTCATTAGACAAAGACGACTGATATTTACTATAAAGAAAATCCCAGCCTTCGGTGTTCTGGGCCGCCACAGCAAACACTGCCAAGGTCACATCGTCAGGCAGTCTGTAGAAAAGAAGACACCCGGTGAGAGGCTGGGATAGAGTAAGTGCAGTCAGAGACTTGATGGTGACCAGTATGAAGTAATAGCTGACTTAATCATTAGAGAAGAATGTCTGGAAATATAAACAAAAACCACTTTCCTTCGGTTATATTTCAGGAATGAGGCAAGAGAAAATATCTAAAAATTAGGCTTTAAAAGCCTTCTCAGAAAATCTTGTGAAATGCCTCTTTTATGAACACCTACGTATTTAACATACTTTAATGATACTAAGTGACTCAATAGGTGGTCACCTTTCAAGCCAAAAGAAAAAGAAATGAAAGAAACTCAGACCCAACCTGGTGGCACAACTGAACGGCAGACTGAACTGCAGCACTGGAAGTCACATGGCCGACTACAGGAAGTCACATGGCCAACTGCAGGAAGTCACATGGCAGACTACAAGAAGTCACATGGCTGACTACAGGAAGTCACATGGCTGACTACAGGAAGTCAGATGGCCGACTATAGGCTGGGATCCCCAGGTTAGCCTGAAAACACATTGGGCATGTGCACAGACAGGATCCTGATGAACTGGAGGGCACAGAAAAGGGCTTGTGCTCTGAGGAGACACTATTGAGGATGTTCCATCCCCCTCTCCTTGTTCAAGTGCAAAGGTGCTCTCTATCATGAATAAGTCAACTTAAAAATATTACAAACTAGACTCAAAATTTACTTCATGAACACAAGTCAGGAATCCAATAGGATCACTGTTGATAAGCATTTCTTTAAGTGGAAGCATGTAGATTGTTGGCATAAAAGTCTCCCGGATAGAATTTAAGTTGTAAATATGAAAGGACTGAGAATTGCAAGAACAGAGATTTCCATATATGGTAAGGTAGTATCATGCTTAGACAGTGTTACTAATTCCCATGCACCCACTAGGAACTTGGGAGGCCCAAAGAAGCTGCTCTAAAATGCATTGCTTCTATTGCTTTTGGCATGGTTGTCTCAGTTCAGTTAGATTTTGTTTTGACTCTACAAAATGGGAATTATTCTAATCCCATTATACCTCCCCAGATACTTGACTTTTAGACATAGAAGTCCTCTCCTAGTATGTCCTAAAACAGAGACCTGAGAGAGACATAAAAAGTTGTTTCTTTGCTAGCAGGGAGATCTGTCTATTCTTGTTTCCTCCAATTTTGGCACAGATGATGGAAAACAGAAAGACTACTCAATGAATTGGATATCCAGGAAGGACTCACCTCAGATCTCCACTGGATTCCTTCCACTTTCTGAAATAGTCTTCTGCCTTCTGCACACATGGCTGATACTTGCGCACACAGGCAAGGAGGAGGAGCTGACTCCGCAGCATTCGCTCCGAGACCGAGCCATCATCCGTCCATGTCTGCTTATCAATGAGGGCCTTCAGCAGCTTGATGAGGAAGGCCTGAGGGCACAGTGACATATGTCAAGCTAGTATTGTCATAAGTCATCTCACGTTTATTATAATCCAGCATGTTCTCAAGTGATGGGGACAAATTTTCAAAACCGAATCCAATTCTTACTGTAAATACTCTGCAGTTCTATTTTTATTTAAATATAAAAGGGTCAAAACCAAGAAATAATAGTGAATGATTTTAGTATTTGCACAACAATCTTTTCAAAAGGTATCCTATCTACTTAAAATAAGAATGACTGCCACTTTTAAAACAGACCAAAAGAAATAGTTTAGGCCTAGCCTGATGGTATAGTCAGGAACATACAGAACTGCAGTGCTGGAAGCCGCACGGCCAACCATGGGTTCAGATTTCCGGCCAGTCAACCTGAAATACACCAGGCCTGTATGTGCATGCCCAAGATCCTGATGAACTGGAGGCCTGGAAGAGAACTGTGGTATGATCCAACTGTCGAGGGTGCTTTCCCCTAACCTCTCCCTGTGGTATGCATGTGCATGTGCTCTCTATCGTGAATAAAATAAATAAACTTTTTAAAAGAGGAGACGGTTTACATGAGTATAAGTACATTTTGAGAGCAAATGGTGAAACAGGACTTCTTGACATTTTGCCAAAAATAACAATTTTGTGCCTTTCCTCAACTATCACTGAGAGTCCCAGAAAAACCTTAATTTTAACCATCGTGATAGAAAGGAATAAAATAAAAGATTTCTGAAAGGAAGAGGACAAATTCATGAACACTGAATACAGAACATAACAATACTATTCCTACTTTTAGTGCTAAATAAAACCAAAACTTTGCTAATCAATCACATTTTGAATTTTTTGCTTCCCCCCCACACACACAAACATGCACATGAAGACATGTATATACACAATAGTAAATTCTCTCCTTTCACATACACAAAAAACAAACCATAATTATCTACCTATTTATTTCAGGCGTTTACCTTGAATTGAGTTTCTACTTCATTCATGTCTCTTTTTTCCATTAGCTTATACATAGGTATCAGTTCATCCAAACCTTGGAACACAGGCATAATTTCAGTTTCATATTTCAAGTACAGGATTAAATCCAAAGCTTTTTCAATGGATAGTTTTCCAACGCTGATCAAGAGACAACATGGCAAGTGGTTTAAAAGAAAATCCAGGAAATCATCTTTTTGCTTCAAAATATTTTTAAAGAATCCTCCAGAAAAATGTTGAATCGGATATGCATGCCTCTTATAAATAACAACCTTTACATTAGTATCTATTTTGTCACATATTACACAACATCTGGCCTGTTTCCACTAGAGAGGAAGTTTTACAAATTATAATAGATCTAAAGATAACTTGTGGTTAAGATGACATAGAAGCATGTCAACATCATCCCTTTATGAAGCACTGAATTGTGTGCTGAACTTTCAGAGAAAGGGGGGATTTTGATCCAAGATCCTTCAGGAAGTCTGGCCAGAGAGACTGCCATCAGCCAAAAGTATGAATCCCCTGGGGTAAACACATTTCCATTTCAAAAAAGATACTCAATCTACGTAGAAACCCTTCATTACAGAGGATTATCAAAGCCTCACTGGTAGAGCATATATTTATACAAGTAAACACAAAAACCTTTAATAAGTCAAGCAGATATATGTTACAGGGAGGGATTTTTAAGCAAGAAGAAACAGATAGTCAGCCCCTAACTTTCTCCTCCATTGCTTTTTTTATTCTTGGAAGGCTCAGTATGATGGTAAGAACCAGAAGGAAGAACTCAGCCTTCAAGCAGAGGAACATGGGATTGAGAAGAACTACAGTGCTAGCCCTTCCCAGCTGGATAGCTCCCCTTAGGATTTCAGTTCTTCCAGAGTATTGATGAAGTTTGAGTTTTAGACTAGTGAGTAGCTCTTTGAAAATCACTGTCATGGAACAACAACAACAAAGATGGATTTAATGTTGACTCTATCCTTAACCACTCAAAGGTCATTTGGTTGGACCAAGTTTTATGAACTACATACAGTCCATAAAGATGCAATAAAGTTTAGGTATTTAGTTTAAAAAACAAACAAAAAATTTTTTCTTTGATTCAGGAGATGTAACGCAAACTTGGGCCTTGGTTATTTAGTCTTCTAAGAAGGCTTCAAGACTGTAAAGATCTAGGAAGAAACCTGATCTATTACAGCAGGGCCAGGAAAAGGTCGAGGTGTCAGCAGGTGGCATAGTGGTTAAGGTGCTAAACTCACATATGGGCAACCGGGATTCGAGTCCAGAACCTGGTGGCTTGAAAATCACACCAGGCACGTGTGCATGTGTGTGCTCAAAATCTTGAAAGAGACGAATGGAGAAGAAGGACTGCCACATGTCATTCCCCTTGGGGGAGCGACTTCTCACTTTCTCTTTCTCTGTCTCTTTCTCCAGTGAGCACACATGCCCTATGTCCAAAAAAAAAAAAAAAAATATTTTTTTAAGCTGCAGGTCGAGGATTTAGAGATTAGGAAAGGCCTTTCCAAGATGTTATTTCGTTTTGCCTCTATCTGATCTGAGTTGTTCATGAGAAAGATTAAAATACAGACGCCTCAGTAACCTGAAAGCAGTTACTGAGCAGTCACAGACAGATTAATCATGGGTTATGTGACCTTGGATTATTAGAAAAACTTAAGGAGAAACACATTTCCACTTCTTATTAGCAATCAAGCAATTATTTTCATCTTCTAAATCAGGAAGTAGAGCGGTAACAGTTGCTTTCAGAAATAAACCACGGCTCTGCACAGCTTGTATTACCTGACAAGCTGAAATGCATTGTTAATGAGACTCGCCCGATCATTGCTGCTGATTGCCGTGTGTGTTCCTTTTAAAAGGCCAGCCAAAGAATCCCATCCGTCATCCTCGTAATGCACGATGTAATAGCCGTTCATTCCCACATTAAATTTGATCCATTCCACCTCTTCGGGGAGGATGAGCACATCTAGAGTAAATAAAATAAATCACAGCTCCATTTACTCTCTTGACTGATCACAGACTGGACAATAAAACTAGCCAACAGTTTAATACTAAGCCATTAGAAATCATCACTTACTTTTCTTTTTAGAAACTAGAAAACAGCAACCCTATAGACAAAAGCTAACATTATTTTTAGACATTTAGACACCAATTTTGTGAGATTTATAGACCTATGGAAAGAATGCCACCACATCTCTGGCCATACATATGATATCACCCAGTAATGTTAACAATGAACAGAGTATTTTCACTAGTAATCCCTCAAGTATTATATAATTCAACTGTTTTAAACTCTATCTGGCAAGATCTTGGCTATCCTCTTTTGAAACCAGACATTATTTTTTTTAAACCTTTTGTTTTAACTAGATAAATGGCAAAAGAAACTTGGTATCTAAATCCTATAAATTTCCCCACCTCCTTCTTCAATTAAACTAATTATTTCCACAATAAGTTACCTGTTTTGGTCTTCAGCAAGAATCTCTGGACCACATCTGATTTGCTGGTAATGAATGTCAATGGAACATGCCACAGGTACCTAAAAGAAAGTAAAGATGATCAATTCATGAGTTAATTCAATTTAACAAGTAGTTAATAAGTCATCTGTTGCTGCCAGGCACTGGCTAGTTTAAGGCAGAATGGTACCGAAACTACAATAGCCAACATCTCAAAACAAACTCAGCCCATTCCCCAGCTGTGTGGGGGCTGCCAGTCAGGCCCTATTTGTCCTTCTTGGACCCCCTGAGTAAAGCTAGAAATTTAGTCTCCAAAGAGATCTGAAAGCCTGTGCGGTAGTTAGCTAACTGGAGCTCAGAGGTCTAACTTAAATACAGTGACCAGTAGTCAGGGCACGAATCAACATCATAGGCCTCCCAGGTCATCTACTGAGAATGATATAGCATTACTTCTGTGGAA